CCATTTCCATTCTCAATTTTATTTTACATACAAACATCTATGCTAGGATATATGCCCACCAATGAATAGTGATTTCCCTTCAAATGGATTGAAGGATTGGGGCTTTTGAGTAATTGGGAAATTCAAACTAAAGGTTGAGGGGGGGGGGGGGGGGGGGGGGTCAAAACCAATGCATGTGGCCAAAATTCCTTAAAATTCAATAAATATAACAGAGCCTTCTCTGCAAATCTTGGAAAATCAGGATGTTCAATTTGAACTGATGTAATAGATTCCAGCATTTGTTGCGTAACAATAGATCAAGATAAAAATACCAACACATTTCTATGAACATTATATGTTTCCTAGGTAAATTTTGTAATCTGTTTTTACATCAATAAATCATTCTTAACATGATAAAATACACATTATCCTTTTATTACACGTAAAAGTGCACAATTATGGGACTTCAAAATGATCAATAATTTTTATAGAGCAAAATAATGTGAACAGCGGTTTAATTAAACGGACTCAATTAATTTTCACTCAACTAATGCCAATGCAATCATCTGTTTTATTAGAGTTTAATTTTAAAACAATTACCAAACGACCATAACACAACATACAACAATGACAAAGACAATATCTTATGCATATAATTAACACAAAACAAAAAACAGAATATAAGAAAATTCCAGATTCATATTAAACTAGAGGCTCTAAAGAGTCTGTGTCACTCACCTAGGCCTATGTGCATCTTCAGCAATAAATATAATGATTTCAGCAAAATTTGACTTATTAGTAGATCTTGTCTTGTTGATATTTTTATCTTTTTAAAGTGTCTATATATCTTTTATAGTTTTCAAGATAATAAGCAAAACCACAAAAACTTGGAAAAAATTGTCATTAAAGATCAAGAACTCCAATAAGGAGTCAACTGACGATATTGGCCATATTGACTTATTTGTAGATCTTTTCTTGCTGTTCAGTTTTGCTTTTTAAAGTCTCTTTCTATCTATTATAGTTTACCAGATAATAAGCATAAACACTAAAATGGGTAAAATCATCATTAAAGGTAGACGCCAAGTGATGAGAAAGACTCACTCGCAGGTGAGCTAAATAGTAAAGCCTCAACAAACTCCCTTTTATACTACTGAGAGAGAAGTTTACTCTTCCTTTGCTATTTTCATTCAAATCTCACTAATTCTCATACTAATATGTCATACCTATATATTTTTTTCTTTTAATTATTTGAATTCTCCTTTATAGTCCAAAGAATTGTGAGCACACATGATTTTCTGATTTTCAATCAAAATTGTAAAATGTAAAAAAAAAAAAAAAATTTAAAAAGAAAATTACAACTTAAATACTCCAAAAGATTTCAAACAGGTATTTATGAAAGTTCTTGATGTTTTTTAAAAGAGCTTACGTTTTTAGTTAAACCTTATTGTATTGTATTGTCATGATTTTATTGTACGTGTGAAAAGATTCAGTCCTAAGAAATTGTAAAGTAGTAAAATTAGTATGGTTAATGAACTATGAAACTACTACTTTGTATTTAAAAATATTTTTAAACTTCATTCAATAGTCCTGTCTTCTGAAGTTGGTTAGATTATATTTTCAATTCAATTTCATTTTCGTTTAAATGGAACTTTGGAAATCTGTATTCTTTGGGTTGCTCGTGCCATAAAGGGAAAAGTACAATAAAGATCAGATGACAGCTCTAATTAAACTTTAACAAAAATACACACAAATAAATATCTTGCCTGCTTTACTGATAATGATTGAATTTATGATGAAAGTCTTTGAGATAAAGGTTTTACTACAAGTATCACATAAATTTAACATTATCAATGATCCATGTAAATGAGGTCAAGGTCAGATGAACTCTGCTAGATGGACAAATACACCTTACAATCATTTCGTTTTCCAAAAATAGTTAACCTGTGGCTTATAATATCTGAGAAAGACCTTACCATGAAAACTTAACCTTGATCACTGATCCGTGAAATGAAGTCAAGCCTCAAGGTCAGACCAACCTTGTCTGGCAGACAAGTTAGACCTTGCAAGGATCCCATATACCAAATATAGTTATTCTTTTACTAAAAAGTGAGATTCAAGTGACAAAAATCTGTATAGTTTTAGACAATCTCTGAACCATGAAATTTAGGTCGAAGGACAATGTAATGACAAACTGATCCCTTGTATCATAAGGTATCTGTATGCAAGGTATGAAGCATCTAGGTCTTTTACCTTCTGAAATATAAGGCTGTCATTGATGAATTTGAATTCGCAGGAGATAAAAGTTGTTAAATATAATAAACATTATCTTTATTTCTAGCTGTAAAATGTATTGTCATGGGTGACTGGTCATGAACTTTGGTGATTAGTGAAGCTTTACTCTTGATTGTGACAATAAGGTGAAAAACAGTAACAAACATGGCTGTTCTTTTCAGCAATATTTTGCATCAGAATTAATACACCGTTCTCTTTCATTTCATAAACCTGTTTTCTGTAGTTTATTTCAAAGTTTGGATTGCTGTATCCTGCAGGTTGCTGAGGTCAAAGACTTATTATACAAGTCATCAACAGATAAGCTGAAATCTTTTTAAATAGAGGACTATGTTTATGTTTCTATAAGAAATTGTGAAGTCATATCAGAATGTTTATAAATACCGAGTCAAGAAAAGTCAAACTATGTTTCATAATAACCCAATAAAATACTGTGGATTCATTAATAGTTGTGGCCTACCAATAATCGTTGATTTCGGACGTATAGATGTATAGATGAACCACGAATTTACGTGTTCAATGAAGTACAAATTTTCCATAGGCTAGTCAGCAGACTTTTATAAAAATCAAATATCCCTAAACATACAATTTTTCAATAATTCATGAAAATTGGTACCCACGAAAATAAATGAATCCACAGTACTGTTTAATAATAAGATGTCATATGAATGCCAATGAGACAAATATTCACCAGTGCACAAATGAGGTAGATATAAGCAACTATAGGTCATCTTTCGGACTTCATCAATGAAAAAAACCCAAACTGTATAGTAAGCTATAAAAAGCCCAAAAAGGCAGCCTATTAAATACACCACATTTAGTTACATGTATTCTCAAAAAGTGTCTATGAGTCGTAAAGAGTTTTTGTTTAAAACTACCAGTGAGATTTTATGGTATTTTTATATGCATATCAAACTGTCATGTAACAGTGTGAGAATTCTGTAAAACATACACATGGATCTTACAGAAATAACATTTCTGCCTATAATCGTTTGTTTAGTGCATATATCCTGTAATATTTCCTACATCATATCCAACATAAGGAAGTTCAGTTCAATGGTGGTGTAGTCATTTTCAGTCCTTATCAATATGTCACTGTGTGGTAGATAAAATAAAAACTAAAAATGATAATGAATATTATTGATATTTGAATGTTGATAGTATTGATATTTGATTAATGAATAGACTTGTGTTCAATGCTTGTGAAAGGAACATTTCTGTGCCCCCTACACAGCATCAATAAAACAGATTTTCCCTTTGTCCAAGGTGGAGGTGGGATAATCAGCAGTAAGACAGCAGACATATATCTGTTTAAGTGAGGCTCCCATGAGATTTTTCATGTAGATCACCTTTTAAGCTGAAAATAATATGAGCAATTTTTGCAAGGCCCACAATTTCTTTTTTGTCAACAAAACTTATGTGTTAAGCAGTCCCATGCAATAAACATGACTGAAGAATCTATACAAATAAAAAGAGGAAGGACAACTCAGTCTATAACAATAAATGTACTGATAATGAAAATCAAGTGTACAGATTTACAATGTATTTGTGATTGATTCTGTAGTTCATGGTTAAAATCCTCTCCTTTATATTTTTAAAAGCTGATACAAAAGAGTATGTGGCCACACCCATTCCCTTCACCAAACTGTGACCTCCTTAAGATATATTGGGTGTTTACCACCATCTGTCTAGATTTTTCATATAATATGCTTATTTTGAGATAGGAATGCAATTCATTTGTGAAGACTTTTCATAGCAATGAAGAAAATTATGTGTTTTATCTTGTTACTAGGACAGTTTTTAAAAATTGCACGATTCTATTTTTTTCAAGTTTGACATACATGTATAAGGGGATTTAACTCAGATAACCTTACTTTTACATAGGAATGTGTAGTAAATTTTCTTATTTTGATTTGTGGCAAAAGAAAGTGTCCCAATACCCTGATTTTTCTTTTTATCTGAAAGCACATTATAAGAGCTATCTACTCATTTTTTCTACTTTAGTTTTCTTTCTATCACACAAAATTTGGTTTTCCATGTATAATCTATACAAAATTGGACAATTATGCACAACTCATGAACAAAATCTCTGTAATCCATTCTTTTCATTAAATTTTCAAAACAGCATGATATCAACTACATTTTGTCAAATTATTCTATCGATTTTTAATTCAGACCCCCATCAACCATAACTTTAAAAAGTGGCTTCATATGCCCAGATGACTATTAATTTTTTTTTTTTATTTATATGTAAAGTATATTATTTAAACAATATTTTATTCAAATAAATTAAATTGGATTGTGCAACATGCCAAGCCTATGACGGAGTATGTACAAAAATGTACATGATGTGAGCCCTCTCCTCTTCATGTAAAGTAGGTGGAGAAAAAGATTTTCTTCCCAAAATGTATTTTCCAATTTTATTTCCTGATGCAAAGGAAATTGAGCATAATGTTTTAATAGTTCCCATATACAAATGTATATTCTCAGAATATCTATATGACATTAAAATAATTCAGAGAATTACAAAATAAACAAAGTAACTGTACTCTTAATTTTACAGTCAAATCAGTCTTTTTACACATGGTCTTATGTTTGTATGTATGCTGTATAAATTTCCTTTCACTAGGAAGGACTTATTGTGTCGGTAATTAAGATCTGCTATTCCTGTCTCAAATATCGCTTGAAAAATTATAACAAAATAACAATTCACTTCCGTGTGTTTTACTTACTTGTACACTGGAATCCTTGTTTCCCAAAACCCCTGAAAAATAAATAAAACGTTTATTTATAAGCATTACTGTTCCGCGGATCCATCGGATTGCGCCGTGAAATTGTGCCATTAGCGAAATAACAACATAAAAATTCCATGGCAATCGTATTTCCATTTACTACAACAAAACGATTAACTATCGGAAGTGAACTCACCATATAAAATCCGTGCAATGACTGCAGAAAGTCGGCTGCTTAAAGAATCTAGCTACAAATTTGTGATTTTTAACCTCGTGCACATTTTTCTGTCTTAAAGCTCCTCTTCGATGAACACCTTTTCCTTCGCTTTTATTTTCTTCAGCCATTTTGACAGTGTGTAATCTGCCAGGCTGCGCTGAACTCAAGGCCGATAATTGAGTGTAATGTTCACAGGGCATGTGTCACAGTGATGCCATAAAAGGAATGAAGCTCTTGATTGACAATTAACGGTATTTTTGATCGATTTGATAGTATACATGTTATTACCTGATCAATGAACGGTCAATAAATTGTATTGATTGTGCATTTCATGCATAATTCTTATGTATGAAAAAAAATATTAAATACTATTTTTATGTGTATTGGATATATATATCTTTCCGCAGGGACTTTCTAACTTCCCTGTTTGTCAACTTAATGTATTAAAGTATATTTCATCCTATCTATATATTGCTTCTGTCCAAATCATTATATACGGCTAAATATTCATGCATTTTGTAGATCTGTTCAAAGTAATCCATGTCCATCTTTGAAATAACAATTTCAGATAACTAACAATGTCATCGTGTAACAACAATGTCAGATTACTTTGGGACATTGTTTTCGTTAAAGAACAATGTCTTGTATTACAACACACGAAAGACGACATCATCATCCAACGAGGGGGCATTACGGGGCAAATCCCTATTAAAGTTACAGGTACGTTAATGGGCAATCTCACTACTTTTTTTAAATTTTGCAAAAAGTAGAGTAAAAAAAAAGATACAATCTTTTATACTTTTGGAGATATAGCAAATTGAAAAGTCTATGCAAAGAAGTGCAAATGTATACGGGATGTACTTGTCTTACAAACGTGTCCCACGAATTTTCTTATTGAAATGATATTGTCACTAAAATGATCCGTTTTATTGAAATGAAAATTATAGGGGTATTATTTTTGCTGTGTAAATCGTTCAAGAGTCTCAGTAGACCGAATAATCTGTCTCTTGTGTGGTTACATTTGTCATTTCATATTTTCTTTTTATCATTTGGCTATTTAATTTTTTTTGTCCACACGGAGACAGAAAGTGCTACTTTGAAAAAGTAGTAGAAAGCCTACAATTTGTTTGCAGTGGATTTTCAGGGCTTTGTTGCCGCCCGAGTATTGCATACACCCAGAGACCGATCGTTTGTTTTTGAATTATTCTACATATCCGTCTTTGTCTCTAAGTTTATTCTCCCTCAGAATAGCCCCTATTATCGTATTGTTCAGCTCTGATTCACTCCACTTCAAATATCAATGGATTCCATTCATAAATATTCCGTGTGGACACACACAAAAAATAAATAAATAGTCAAAAATTAAATGATAAAAAGAAAATATGAAATGACAAATGTCTCAGTAACATATTTGAAAGAGTCGAAAGTTAACATTTTTTAAAGGATTTAGAGTCACGACTAAACGTCTGGCATGCACAATTACTTTTATGAAAAATAAGGAGATGTGGTATGATTGCCAATGAGACAACTATCCACCAAAGTTCAAATGAAGTGGATGTAAGCTATTATTGGCAATCGTATGGCCTTCAACAATGAGAAAACCCATACCGTATACAGTTGGCTTTAAAAGGCCGTGACGGCATGAAAAATATGAAACAATTCAATTAAGAAAAGGCCTAATCTATAACAAAAAAAAAACAAAATCGAAAAACATATATGACAGACATGAACCTACAACAACCACTGAAATACAGGCTCCTGACTAGGCACATAAAGAATGTGGCGGGGTTAAACATGTTTGCTGGCGCCAAACCCTCCCCCTAAGTGGTGTAACAGTACAACATAACAACTATAATAATAAGTTAAAAGGGGATTAACTCATCAGATTTTATACATCCCTCACAACAGAAAAGACACAAAGTAAAGATCTGAGAGTACTCGCAGTTACCGACAGTCAGTTCAAAGCCAATTACAATTAACAACAAAAAATCATGCATTTAAGACTTTAGCCTTTTTTGGCGATTTTTCCACGCTGTACAGATTCACCTATTCGTACTCAAAAAACGAATTCGGTGACCCCCTACAAGTTTTGTTTATAGTAATAAAGCGGAAATTTTAGTAGCGATAACATATCATGTATATACTATTATTATATATTTAATTGATCCAACTTTTTGTGTACTATACATATGTGGATATCTATTTTTCTTTTTTTCTTTTTGGGCTGCTTGTTTGTTATCTATATCAACCACACTTGCAATAAAGTGCATTAGTATTAAAAAAAACAACATACTATAGATTCTTTATCTACGTATTCTTTAAGAACTTAAATAGTTCTCGTTTAACTTTTTTTTTTTTTTTATCTCATTGTTTGTATTGTATTATGAAAAAATTATTGATGTTGTAATGTTTATGCCCTTTGGGGCCCATAATTGGAAATAAAATATCTTATCTTATCTATCTTATCTTATACTGCATTAAATTTCGTACTATTTAATTTGCTATATCTATGAAAGTATAAACAGATATATGAGCCACTCCATGCAAAAAGGTACAAGGTGTGTTTGATAAACTTTACAAAACATGTTGTTGAAGTTCGTTAGAATAGTTTTGAAAAACGATTTTATCCGTAATAAATGGGTATTGATGTCAACATTCATAAAATGATCAATTCTGTCCCGAATTTGTCAGTTAAAACGGAAAAAAAACGTAGAAATATCTGAAATTCTGTACTTTTAAAATCAAGTGTAGAAATAATTTGTTACCCGGAACAATGCTATACTGAGCAGAAATTAAACCATTTACGACACTATAGAGAGAAAAAAGTCAACAGTTTTCATCATCTCTGCTAATGCCTAAAGAAAGGAACACAACAGTTAAACGTACGGGATAATGCAAAAATTATGTCATCTTGTGTGTTTTTTTTTAATTTAAATCTAAGTTAAGTTAAGATTTTTAATATTATATAAATCAAAGACGTGATCGAATTGTTGCCCCTATTGAACGGAATTGATGTCTGCTTTGAAAGCGAGAGTCTTATTCCACTGCTATCCAATCTAATTACAATATAGACCCCTGATTTCATAAGAGGATAACGAAATCAGAGGTCTATATTTTATTTAGATTGACTGCTATCCGGGTGAACATAATCAATTTGCGAGTTAAGATACTTAACCTATACATGGAAAAATGAATGAAAAAGTAAACAATTGAGCAAAATCTAAAAGAAACAAGGGGTGGGGGGAAAGGTGGGGTTGTAAGCACTAAAAGGTGTGTATAACTTACAGCTTAATCGTATGAGGAAAAGTATATAACGATGTTTTATAGATCACAAGTCTGTAACAATAATAATGCACACATTTTAGAATTTCGCCAATTTTTCGTTTTTTTTACCTTTTTGCATGGACTGGCTCGTATATCATTGTTTCGATGTTCGCGCGCATTTCCTCTTGCTAAAGTTGCATGCAAAATTTCATGAAATTCCGTGAGATCACCAATTTACGTACCTGTAACCTTTAAGGTGTTGCACCCTCGAATATATTCCCAACTTTCGACAACCATTCCTTTAATATTCTAAGTTCCTCCCTAATCAGTGGGAAAACCGGTGAAAACATTCTCTTTATTTAAATAAAACTCTTCAACTCCTAGCGCTAACTTTGGGCTGGGATATATTATATTGAGTATTATTAGTATAATAGTCCCAGCTTTGGGGTAGAAATAGAGTCACCAAAATGTCTTACTCCCGAAAAAAAAACTATGTTCGTTTTGATGTTTGGGATGTATTGCGACGCGGAAAGTTAACACCATATGATACGATATCAAGACTGTATACTTTGGTTTCTCTCCAATTACCCACAAGACTACATGATGAGGCAAGTCGTTTTCATCTGATTTTTACAGTGTGTTCTTATGTTGTGCTGTAACACCATTGTGCTAGGTGAGAGAGGGATGAGCGCTCACAAACATGTTTAACCCCGCCACATTTTGTACAAGGGCGCCTTGAATTAATAGTGGTTTTCATTGGTTGGCTTGCTGTCTGCTAGATCTGTTTTTTTTGTTTTTTGTTTTGTCATAAATCATCCCGTTAGTTGTTCGTTTGAATGTTTTCGCGTTTTGTCACGTCGGTGCCTTTAACACGCACTTGACTTAATCCCTACATCCACTTGCCAAAATCTCTACACGATCATGACAAAAACCTTATACGCACTTAACATAATCCCTACACGCACTTTACAAAACCCTATATGCACTTGACAAAATCCTTACACGCGCCTGACAACATCCTTTAACGCACTTGACAAAACCTTACACGTTCTTGACATAAATCTTACGCACAATTGACAGAATTCCTACACGCGCTTGGCAAAACCATATTAATGCACTTGACAAAAACCTTACACGCACTTGATATAATCCCTACACGCACTTGATAAAATCAATACACGCACATGACAAAAACCTTACACGTAATTAACATGAACCTTACACGCACTTGACAGAAACCCTACACACAACTGACAAAATCCCTACATGCGCTTGATTAAACCTTACATGCACTTGACAAAAACCCTAAACACAATTGACAAAATCCCTACATGCGCTTGACAAAACCTTACATGCACTTGACAAAAACCTTACACGCACTCGACATAACCCCTACACGCACTCGACATAACCCCTACACGCACTTGACAAAATCCCTACACGCGCTTGACAAAAACCTTACATACACTTGACAAAAACCATACACGCACTAGACATAACCCCTACACGCACTTGACACAACCCCTACACGCATTTGACAAAACCTTACATGTACTTGACATAACCCCTACACGAACTTGACAAAATCCCTAAACGCACTTGACAAAAACCTGACACGCACTTGACATTATCCCTACATGCACTTGACAAAATCCCTACACGTACTTGACTAAAAAAACAATACACGCACTTGACATTATCCCTACACGCACTTGACATAATCCCTATACGCTCTTGACAAAATCCCTACACGCACTTTACACAAACCTTACAAGTATTTGACATAATCACTTAACCCGCTTAACATAATACACTCACTTGACAAAAACCTTAAACGCACTTGACAAAAACTTTAACGCACTTGACAAAAACCTTAAACGCACTTGACAAAACCTTTCACGTACTTGAC